GCCAAGAATGGAACCTGAGTCCTCTAGTTTGTTAATCCAGTAACATTGCCAGTGGGCTATGGACGTGATAGTCAATAATTATGATAAACTTAATAAAATACCTACCTCTTAAATCTAAATATCTCAGTAAGTCTAAAAAAAATCAATACCATCCTCAATTTATGAAAAATCTTAACTTTGATATGGTTGTCTGAAATATTAGGTTTTGAGGCTGTTCTAATAATGTCCAATTAATAGTAAAATTCAATGCACAGTAAAATTAATATAGTTTAACCTCTGTTTGACCTAAGCTTTACGAGCAAGTGCATAGTATGATTCTCTAGTTTCAGCTGTCAGTGTCCGCCATAAACTTCCCAAACGAATAGATATTCTCTTATAATCTTCGTCTGGATGCTCAGTTATTAATTTCTTCCTCCAATCCTTGCAAAATAATATAAATGGGTTGGGTCGTTCAGTTATACTCTTTTCATTAACATTTGAATCATTATGCTTACGTTTAATTGGCATAGAATTTTCGTTTTCATTATTTTTGTAATTATCCTCATGAAAACTTCTAATCATACCTTTTACATGAGCATAAATTGTTGGTTTTTTTATCAATTGCATTTGACTACTTTTCTTATCATTTAACATTTCTTTATTATCATCTACGACTATAGTTGGCTTTTCTATATTTGTCGGTTCGGAAGACTCTACTTTTATTTTCTTTTGTGCTGGTTCATTTGTAGGCTCATCTAAACTAGGTGGCCTAGGCTTTTTAATGGGCGTCAATGTTGGATGTGTGTTTAAAATTGTATATTTCACTGGTTTATTTACATGTGTATTTGAGGAATTCTCTTGTCCTCTCATTTTAACAGCTGACAAACCTTTGACTCGAAACATTTCACCTAACCCTAATACAGCATGTAAATCTTCATCAACTACTTTTACTTCTCCATGATAAATAAATTCAATTATCTTCTTTAAATGTGAGAATGAGATATCCGACAACTTGATAATAGGATGATGAACTTCACTTATATTTGTAAATACGTTCATAAAAAAATCACTGCAAGCCGCCAATACTATTTTATGGGCTTTAATTTGCTGTTCTTCACACATAAGTGTTACATCTACAAGTTGTCCCTCATGTTTCAAATCAGAAAATATCTGCACCATGTTCTGAAGGAAATTGTTCCAGCGCAGGTGATATTGCTCTCCTTTGGAATTTTTCGAGGAACTGGAACTCATTCTATAAGTCACTAAAACCACTATCAGCTGAAAAAATACAAATTATGACTTCTGAGAACTATAAAAACAAAATTTAAGGTTAAGTTGTGGATACTATACTATACGTGAATGTCTTCTTCTTGTTCTGTTTATGTGACATGTTGTCAATGTCAACATAGTTATGGGCGTTATGGCACAGAATAATAAACAATCAGAAGGGCCACTCTCAGATGCCGCCTTTGAAGTTTTTCAGCACGCGCGCCATGTTTTAGGAGGACACAAACATATGATTTGTGAGGTTATGCAATTGTTTTACATTTATGTTTAATTATATTATATTTATGTTATTATATTTAAAACTGTTAATATAATTGTATAGTATGTCTATGATTGCCGTAAGTCAAATAAACCTGGTTTTTTTTCCATGCACACCACATAAACAACACTGGTTCCCTTTAAAATCCTCGTAAAACATGGCGGAACGTCTGCGCGAAGGAGATGCGCGTACTTAATTTTCCGTGGAGAGTGAGCATTCTGTTTGTTTATTATTCTGTGGTTATGGTCTGGATGGAATACAAAATGTTTGTTCAAAGAATGAGAATTTGTTGAGTAGAAAAAATTGTTCGATGAGGAAAAACGTCTATACGTCTAAGAATTTTTCATATAAGAATGATTACACGTGTTTCAAGACTTACGACGTCAAAACCCCACAGCGTTGCCAAAACATCAGAAAAGTTAGTACTTTTTAAAATGTCAACTATTATATTAACAGTAAATACACTTATTGTCTATTCGCTTAGCTAGGGCATATTTTGACAGACTCATTGTCGGAAACCTACAACACAACAATTCCTACTTCTCAGTATTAATAGCTCAAGTAAACTACTATTGCAGACTTCTTTCTTTGAAAAAAAGAAGAATTATTGGAAATAGTGGAAGTGTATACTAAACCCATCAAATTTTCCCTGTATATTTAATATTTGAATTGTTACAATTTAAAATATTGTAGTAAATATTTGTATTATTCGCGTTGTTTATTTAATTTAATATAGTTTTATTGTTTTATTATCTTTGTTTAATTCTTATGTTAATTCTATTCAGTTAATTAGTTAGTTATATTTTAAATTTTATTATTATGGATATTCAAAGTTTTCCATTTGCTCCATCAGCTAATGCGTTGGTAAGTTTTTCTTAATAAATATGATACAATGTTTTTTAAAAGTTAATATGTTTAGATTAGTTGTTTCTAATTTAATATAAACTTGTTTATACTTACATGGAGGTTTTTGTTGTTTGTTTGGGTTTATATGACTGCAGACTGCGGCCAGGACACTGAATTCATTCACCATATGTGGAAGATTTGAACATCCTCAAATGCTAATGAGCAAAAATTACTATTGAACCACGAATTTGCCTAGTCAAATTACTAATATTTGCTTTTAGCATATGGAAGTACACTTATTTTGTAAGATAATAAAACAACAGTTTATGTTAATGCTATCCAATGAACTGTTAATATTTAATCATTGATTCCATCCTAGTCACAACATAAGGAACTTGCTGTGTCTTATTTAACCTCACTTTGACTTTTTAATTTTGTAGAATTTATTCCCACTTTTTTTATTTTGTACAATAAATAATTTTATTATTTGTTATCAATACATTATACGGTGCAAATAAATAAATATTGATTGTCGGCAAAGTTCTATTTTATTTACTTTTGTTTACATTAATATTGACTAAGAGCACGTATGCTTGGTTGTATAGTAATTTCCAGCCACTTCGAGTCTGTCAAAAAGTAACTAACTTCGCAAAAAAATAATTACTAAAATCACTAGACAGTTCGGACTGGGAATAGCGAACTGGGAATAGTGTTAAGACAACCTTCTTACCTATAGACTACTGCAGCACACTAAAATACATAAGAAGACATTTTAATACAAAATTGTATATTGTAAATTTTAAACTTATCTACCTCTTTTTGAGCATTGATAGCATGATACTATGAAGAACATAGTCATAGTATCATGATTGATAGTAAAAACGTCCCGCCATTATTTCTTGTTAAAAATAATATACATGAATAGTCTTATATGAAAGCTTATCAGCTTTCTACAGACTATTTATTTGTTTTGGCATAGCCATCGAGCAAAAAGACAAAAGAGGGAATGTAAAGGTAGTGGTGGCAAAAATAGTGTTAGACAGGAAGTGCGATCTTTAGAGGCCACATTAAACAAGGAAAGAGAGTCTCTCTCCTTGTTTGACATCAAATTTAGTTGGGTTATGTTATTGTTTTTGTCCCAAATGTCACATGAAATCTTATTTATATTGAAGTTTTTTAACAATTGTTATATGTCGCATTTTAGACTATTACCGTTAATAATTAATTAAAACTTTCTCGTCTAAGACACATTCTGAAAAATATATAGCTATTGTTAATAAGTGTCGGAAATTTTAAATTTGGCGCATTCGCATTTCCGGATATGTCCGCCATCAGAGGCCACTTTTTTGGTCTCCTTTTCATAAGGATTAGATTCCCTCTTTTGTCTTTTTGCTCGATGGGCATAGCACAATCACAATACACAACAATAATTACTTTTTAAAGCTATTAATTTAGATTTAATATGTATTTTTAAATACAATTTATTAATATATGATATATTATGATCAAATTGTGTAAGAAATCAAAACATAAACAAAATTATTACTCGAAAAAAGCGGCAATAATTTATACAATTTTGCCACATGCTGAGTTGTCATTAATATTTGAAGTATTTCGGTATCAGTTACATAAAATAAAATAGAAGCGTCGTTAAAACATAACCACATTCTTCTGTCATCTTATAATTTTTAAATTTCAGTTCCACTACAGAACAAAATTTTAAAGATACAGCGTTGCTATAGGATAAGGATTTTTCTCTAAAAGGGGCCTCTGTCTGTTTTCGTATAAATTAATGATATTTAAAACTAAATATAACTTTAAAATAAAGTATAGTAGGAAAATATTATATTTTGTAAAAAATATGCTTAAGTGAAAAAATGACACAGTTAACATCTAGAAAACATCCCTAATGGGACGTCCCTTGGACGACCTTATGGGACGTCCTTGGTATGTCCGACTAGAAATATCCCTTGGACGTCCAAAAGAAGCCCGGGACGTTTGGACCTTAAAATGACATAAAATGGACGCCCCAGGGATGTCTTGTGCTGTCTGGGTAATGTACTCTGAATATGTATTGCACAATAACAGGGACAATATACATCCCTGTCGCACACCTTTTTTTATTTCTATGTCGTCTGGACGCCTCTGAATTTCGAACGCTTTCTGGAATCAACAAAACACACATAAATATCACAATTCGCGTCTCTACATCTTTAAAAGAGAACTTGTATTGTAAAAAGTGCCTCTCAAGTACCCAATGCATCCCTGAAGCCGAATTGTGTGTTTGTCATGTGTTCTTCACACTTTTTATAGATTCTTTTATGATTGTGCAACGGTTATACTTTGAAAAATTGTATAGCAATTTTTACGGACGTAGGAAGGATTAATTTTTTATTTTTATTTATTACTAACGAAATTTACATTGTAGTGATAACTTCAAATATCGCAAAATTATGATTTTATAAAAAAAGATTTAAAACGTACGTATTATATGTGGAATTTCAAAAGTTGCTATATTTGTATTTTCAATGAACACTTAATAATTACGTTATAACTTAAATATGATAACACTATTTTATTTCAAACTAGAATAATAAAAGAAAGCAATTCGGTAAATGTATGTATTCTGTAACAACTAATAATTACTTTTTTGTTGGATTGGATTATTGGTGGTTTCTCCATAGCTGCAGTGGTAGATTCGGAAGGCACTGTTATTTTTTAACATTTATTTACTGTTACTATCATCTAGATCTATAACTGACAACTCCATATATACGGGTTCGCAAGACTCTACTCTTATTTTCTTTTGTGATGGTTCATTTATCTGGTCATCTAAACTAGGTGGTCTATGCTCTTTAATGGACGTCAATCTTGAAGATGCATTTAAAATTGTGTATTTCACAGATTTATTTTCGTGAGTATTTGAGGAATTCTCTTGATCTTTTATTTTAAGAGCTGACAAACCTTTGACTCCGAACATTTCACCTAACAATAAGACAGCAGGTAAATCTTTATCATAAACGTTTACTTCTCCTTCATAAATAAATTTAATCATCTTCTTTAAATGTGAAAATGAGATATCAGAGAACTTGATAATAGGATGAACTTCACTTATATTTTTAAACAAGTTCATAAAAAAGTCACTGCAAGCCGCCAATACTATTTTATGGACTTTAATTTGCTGTTCTTCACACATGAGTACCACATCTACAAGTTGTCCTTCATGTTTTAAATTAGAAAATGTCTGCATCAGGTTAAGAGGAAAATTCTTCCAGCACAAATTATAGCGTAGACATCGCTTTCGTGTGGAAATATTCGAGGAACTCATTTTATAAATACATAAAAAAACACTATAAACTGAAAAACTATAACTTTGCTCTGAGAACTGAGAACTTTACAAACAAAACAATAAAGGAAATTTATGGTTAAGTTGTCGATTACAATTGTTAAGTAAGAACTCAACAGTTTTACGCAAGTAATAAAATGCAGATGGCAGTATGTACATTCAAAATACGTAGATATGGATCACTTCATGCCCAGTTGATGTCAGTGCCGTAGTAAATATGTTTTAATAAGAGTTTAATTATTATTTCTTTTTGTTTTGCTTAGACCATTGGTCACACATTATACACCTTTTATTATAATTTGACTCTACAAAATCTGTATATTTTCAATACTGATATAATTATTATTTTCTAAAGAATGATTATGTCTGTATATGCCTGTATAGCCTGTATATAAGTATATACCTATTTCATTGATTTTGAAAAGGCATTTGACAAAGTGCAGCATAATCGGCTTAAAGAAATTTTATATAGACAGTAGAGACATTAGGATCATATGTAACCTCTTTGGAACCAAACAGCAAAAGTGAAAGTTGAAAATGAACTGACCGAGGATATCCAGATTCGCCGTGGGGTCCGCCAAGGGTGTATTTTATCACCCCTGTTATTCAATTTATACAGTGAAGCCATCTCAGAATTAACACTTGCCGAGGTCAGTGAGGGTCTTATAATAAACGGTGAGCCACTTAATAACATAAGATATGCTGACGACACCGTCCTTCTGGCAGGAACACTAGAAGAACTGCAACACCTTGCTGAACAACTAAATATATATTGCAACGATTATGGACTAAAAATAAATTTGAAGAAAACCAAGTTGCATTGTATTTACAAAAGCACAAAACATCAAAGTTAAGCTAGTACTAGATAATACAGAAATTTAACAAATATCTTCGTACAAATACTTTGGAGCATGGATCACACAAGATTCTGATCAGACAAAAGAAATAAGATGCCGTATTGAAATGCACGGTCAACTTTTAAAAAAATGAGAAAACATTTTTGTAATCGCGATATCAATATATCGCTCTGGATAAGAATGCTTCGATGTTATATTTTTTCTACCCTTTTGTATGGGGTTGAAGCTTGGACACTTAAAAAATCCAACATCAAAACCTAGAAGCGTTCGAAATGTGGTGTTACCGACGCACATACGTTGATTTTAAATAATTAGCCGGCCAAAAGTCAAATTTCAAAAGTGACGTAAAAAATTTAAGAAATATCCTAGAGATACATGATGGTTCGAATTAACAAAAAATAACTGTCCCAACTCTAGAACTGTTTACCATGCGCGTGCGCAGACGCAGGCGCGCGGTAGGTAGCTTGTCAATAACGTTTTGTTGTCTACGCCTAGTAATACACTTTTTATATATCGTGATATTTTGTGATATTCAGCTTATTTTTTAAAGTGATTATGATGGAATCAAATAATTCAGGTAAGAATGCATATTTCTTGAAATATATAAAGAATGTTTACTGTTATCTTATATTATTTTTTCAAAATCAAAGGCAATCTGTTTTGTAGTAAAACTTTTGTTTACTTTTTATGTTTATAAGACATTAAGTTATATTATCGCCCCAGATCCAGCAATGTTGTTTATTTTATAGTATATTGCATATATTTGGCTAATTAATGCCGTACGATTTAGCTGCGGATAGCTGCGGATGGCCGAATTACAGGGGTTTTTGTTTATTTTGTTTTATTGATGACGTCACACAAATAAAAGTACTTAATTGTATTCACTGTAACAATTTACGATTTTCTTTGTTTTAGCTACATCTGGTGCCTTTGGCATAAAAATAGTGACCCGTAAATATCTTTACGACCAAATGAAGCTTCAAGATTTGCCTAATTTAGATGATAAACTGAAATATTTAGAAAATCACTTACTGACCTGTTATGGTGACACATCTGACAATTTAACCAGTTTAAAGCGAAGATTTCGGCATTTTAAAACGGCCATGAAAGAGAAATGGTTAAAGGCCCACCGAAAAGAAGCTATATTTTTACAAACAAATAGAGTTTGGTTAGATGGAACATTTATACTCGTAGAAAACGAAAAAATGCGACCAGGTCGGCCATCTAAATCATTTAATGACTCCAGTGAAAGAACGAAAAGGAGAAAAACAGAAGAATACGTTCTTCGCTTCATGGAGAAGTTATCGTTCATGCAGCCCAATCAACATTACAGGCTCGAGGAAAAAGAAATGCTTCAAAAATATTAAAAGATATTACAAACTCTCCAACTCGTGCAGATAAATATAGAGATGCGTTCAGGAAAATAAATAAAGAAAACATTACTGCTCTTACACCGTTGCAAGCCCTAGCAATGTTTGTTGAAGCTGATTTAACCAAGCGACAGTATGAAATCATTAGAAATACAAATAAATCTTTTTATCCTTCCTATGACTTACTGTTAAAGGAAAAAAAACAATGTTACCCGCCAACGGATTGCATAAAGGTATCAAGTACTTGCGCAGAAAGCAGTTTACAAAGTTTAATAGATAACACCGTTTACCGCTTATCAGTGGGGTTAGAAGAAATCCTTTGTTCTCTAAATGACAATGAAAGGAAGTCTTTAAACATTATTTGTAAATGGGGTTGTGACGGATCTCAACAAGCCAGATACAAACAGAAATTTGACGATGACGCTGCTACGGATGCGCATATATTCCTATCTTCTTTTGTTCCACTTCGAATAGTATGTGGCAAAAAAGGTAAAAAAGTAATTTGGCAAAACCCAATACCGTCCTCGCCTAGATATTGTAGACCTATACGATTTAGCTTTGTAAAAGAAACAGTTGATGTAACGAACGAGGAGATCAGTTACGTTGAAGAATCTGCCAAAAACTTAACACATACTAAAGTTGTTTTGAACGGTAACACATTCATGTTTGATCATGTTTTTAAGATGACCATGATTGATGGCAAGGTTTGTAATGCTGCAACTAATACAAAATCTACAAGTCGGTGTTATATATGCGGAGCGACATCTAAAGACATTAACAATCTGAATAAAAAATTAAGTACAAGTTCTAAGGCTATTGAATTTGGTCTCTCGGTATTACATGCTAGAATTCGAATGCTTGAAAGCGTTTTACATTTGGCATACAAATTACCAATAAAAAAGTATGGAGAAAAGAGAACTGACGAAGAAAAGAAGATAGAAGTGCTCACAAAAAAATATATCCAGGAAAGATTTAGAAAAGAAACTGGATTGTTAATCGACATGCCAAAAGCCAATTTCGGGAACACTAATGACGGCAATACTAGCCGAAGATTTTTTGAAAATCCTCAACTAGCTGCCGATATAACAAAAGTTAATTTTGAATTGATATATAGACTGAAGATTATATTAGAAACAATTTCAAGTGGTCATAAAATTGACGTTCAACAATTTGATGATTATTCAAAAGCAACAGCGAAACTGTATGTCGATCTGTATGGATGGCACCCTATGACACCTAACATGCATAAAATATTAGTTCACGGTGCAGAAATAATCGAAAATGCCTTATTACCTATAGGACAGCTGTCGGAAGAGGCAGCAGAAGCTAAAAATAAGCATTTTCGATTATATCGCGAGAACTATGCACGAAAGTTCTCGAGAGAGGAATGCAACCTTGATATATTTAACAGACTTCTTCTAACTTCTGATCCATTATTAACCATTTTAATCAGCAAGAAACGTGTACAGAAAAGAGTCAAACCAGGCTCATTTTGCCCTGAAACAATTCAAATGCTTTTACCAGGTGACCCGAATACTGAGTCCGATATGTCAGACACTGATATGTGAGGTAAAACAAAAACTAATATATTTTTTGTTCATTTTAAAATTTGATTTTGATTTTTTCCATGAAAAGTAGATGCCAATATTTAAAAAAACAATATTTCCGTTAATTTGTACCATTTTGAGTAGAACTATGCGGTAAAATAATTTTGGCCGCGTAAATCCGTTAAATCGACGTATGTGCGACGTATTTTGAAAATATTATGGATGGATCGCAAAACAAACGAACAAGTTCTCGAACAACTAGGAAAACAATGCGAAGTTTTAAATTCCATAAAAATCAGCAAATTGGAATACTTGGAGTACATCATGAGAGGTGAAAAATACGAACTACTAAGGAATATAATGCAGGGTAAAATCAAAGGCAGAAGAAGCGTAGGAAGACGTAAAATCTCGTGGCTACGCAATCTCCGTGAATTGTTTGGATACAGTTCAATTGAACTGGCGCGTAACCAACAAAATTATAATTGCCAGAATGATTTCCAATCTCCAATAGAAGTGGAACTTGAAGAAGAAGAAAGACTGGTTGACTAAGGTTGCAGTACATATTTGGTTTTTATGCTATTTTTATTGCAGTATTTCGTTTATGTAGATACTCATGCGTCTGTTCGATGTATTGTTGCTTTATAAAATAAATTTTAAGGACTATAATTCAATTATAGATATATAATACATGTCTTTATCATGGGGTCAAATGACAAAGGAGTCATCAACGTACCGTAACCAGCAGGTGGGTTTGAGATTTGATGAGGATAGGTCTGTTGTTTCGAAATATTCCGCGGAGATATCAGCTACTACTGGAGAGAGAGGGAATCCCATTGGGGTACCTTTGATTTGACCATAGAACTGATTTTGGAAGGAAAAGTGTGTATTAGACATGCAGTGATTTATAAGAGATAATGTGTCTTGAGGGAATCGATGTTTAGAGTCCA